TTTTTGAATTATTAATCTCAAAAATATGACTCAAAATATTTTTGAAACATATCGAAGAAAAATGTTTTACTCCATTTTTGAATTACTGCTACATTACTTTTCTACACCAAAAAGTATCAAATTTCTAAAAATTTTTTAAGTTCGACATCAAAAGATCTTCGTAACTTTTACTATTTAATACCAATAAATCCAGTTTTTGACGCGCTTTAATTCGGTATAAAATACATTTGTGATATCATTGATACTTTAAGTTGTAGAGAGGGGCGCGTAATTGTTTTTTAACACCCTGTGTATAATATTAATAATCGTTCTTATTATTGTTAAGACTGACATCTGTAGTTAATAGTTGTCATAGGTATTTTTGCGTGTGTAAACTGAATCATAGTTTATTAGATACATTCATCTATTACTCTATTGAGTTGTTCTCAATAAATCAAAATAATGTTAACATTACCTATTTCATTATCATCACCAGTTGTAATTAGTGTTAGTATATTAACAGCAATTGGTGCTTATGTTCTATTTGGACCTGAACCACAAGATAGACGAAAACGTGGTTTGTTTAAAATTAATTTAAAAAGAAGAAAAAAAAACAAATTTCTCTATTTTATTTTATTAGGTTATCCCGGTGGATTAATTAATTATGGAAATAATTGTTTTGCTAATGCTATTGTTCAATGTTTAGCATCATCATCGATATTTATTCGATGGCTTGAAGAACATCTTAAAAATAAAACAGTTGCAAAAATTCTTCTTGATCTTATTAAATCTATTAATGATCAATCATTATCATGTTCACAAGAATCAACTGTTGCAACATTAATTGATCATATGCGACAACCAAAATGGTTAAGTCCATTTGAACAACAAGATAGTCATGAATTTCTTTTATCACTTATTAATTCATTAACAAGTACACAAATAATTCAAACAAAACAATTTGGTTTTGCTTCATGTCTTGATACAGATGAACAAGATATATCAAAAACTATAATGATAAATGAAAGTCCATTAATAAATCCACATCCATTTCAAGGTTTACAAGCAACACAATTACAATGTACAGAATGTAAACATAAAGTAAATAAAATTTATTTTTATTAATTTTTTGTTTATTTCCTTTTTTTGTTTTTTTATTCGAGAATCCAGTAAGTGTTTCACTTTTTGAAACATTATCATTAACGATTCCTGAACGTCAAGTATCAAATGCCGGAGTATAATTTCCTTCTGTTTTTTTTTTTTATTAAATTTTATATTTATTATTATTTCTATTTTTTGTTTTTGTTTTTTATAAATAGTTATTCTCTGTTCGACAACAACGAAATTTTACATTACAAGAATTAATTGGTAATTATCTTAAATCAGAAATGATTAGTAATTTAACATGTAATAAATGTAAATCAAAAGAAAATTTACCACATAGAAAAATAACAACTTTTTCAAGAGTAAATATTTTATTTATTAATTGAATAAATTTTTTTTTATTTATAATTTTTTGTTTTTTTTAGTTACCAGAAATTCTTTGTTTACATATTATTCGAACAACATGGACAAATGAAGGTTGGCCAATAAAAAATACTTGTCATATATCATTTCCTGATCTACTTGATATGAATTCATTTATATCATTATCACGTCTTTTACCTGCTAATATACATCCAACTCAAATAATTAAAAAACCATCAACAGCTATTTATAGACTTAATTCTGTACTTGTACATTTAGGTGGTATTACTGAAGCTGGACATTTTATTGTTCATCGACGACGAATAAATAGTAATGAATGGCTTTCAATATCAGACGATCATATTCGAGAATGTAGTGAACTTGAAATATTCACTTCCATGGCATATATTTTGTTTTATGAAAGAATAAAAAAATAATTATATTAACATTCTTATTATTCTATATAGGAATAATACAGTCGGTGACAATGATCATTGGTCTTAGATATGCATGTATAGAATAACGGTGATCTTAAATTTATTTTGCTAAGAGAAGGATAATAATAGTAGTCTAGAATGGTTTGATTTTTCGATAAATTCGATGTCGATTTTTTTTGCATGAATAAAGTTTTCAATGAGATTAATATATTGAGAAAATTTTAACTTTTCTAATATTATATGTCTTTACATGCAAAATATTCGAAATTTTGTCATATGTAAATTGTCTTGATCGAAAAGTGATTTGACACCTGGAGAAGTTCCCTTGTTAATTCTTACGATTTACACATGTTTTTATAAAATTCAGCTATTTCCTTGAAATAACCTTCTCAATCCAAGATTTCTACAAGTTCATCATGCGTTTACCGTTCGTCTATACACATAAGATCGGTGCACCGTAACCGTTGCATACCTAATTCTATAGAACAATATTTTTTCGTCCAATTCTTTTTTTTTTCAAGGTGATATCAATTTTTTTTTTTTTTAAATCAATAAGAATAAACTATTAAAAAAATATATCGATCCATATGTTCGTGCTCCCATTCATCTGTAAAATATATGCATGTGAAGCATTCAGTTAAAGATATTTGTTAGAATATTATAACTGTAAGAATGACAAAAACAAGTTTAGGATGGATTTTATTTATGTTTGCTGTTTTATTACCGGTTATCAATGGGTTAAATCTTAAAAGTATTGATGGTGGTTCAGATTGTGCTAGTTGTACTGTTATTGTTGGTCTTGTTGAAAAATTATCTATTGTCTATAATGAAAGTGTTATAAGTTCTCTTGAACGACTTTGTAATGCTTTGCCAACTGATTTAAGAGTTTATTGTAGAGTAGCTGTTGATTTTTTAGGTAAGTTGATATGATTATTTTGATGAATGAAGAGCGAAAAAAAAAAAGCGAAATGAAATCTTTAGGACCACTTATTATTGATGGTTTTATGAAAGGAGATAGTCCTGATATTATTTGTCATGCATTAAAATTCTGTACAGATGATCCTGGTCAAGCTAAATGTCGTCTTTATCCATCAAAATCTCCAATTCTATTTGCTCAACGTGTTTCAAATCTTCGTCGACGACATCCACAACCTTCCTATGACTTATCACAATCAAAAATTTGTCAAGTTCCTGGTATTAAAGAAATTTGTAAAATTCTCGAAAATGCCTTTAATAATCATATACCATCGGTTGATTTTGATCAAGATAAATTTGGTACAGAAGCAACACTTCGTGGTAGTTCATGGCGTGGAAAAGATTGTAATGATTTTTCATCAGCAGTTCATCCGGGTGCTCATGTTATTGATGGTGATGGTATTACAGATCATAATTGTAATGGTATATATGGTATGAATTCAGCAAGTGGAAAACCTTGGGAAGATGAATTTTGTAATGAAACACAACGTATTGGTATAGCCGTATTAGGTGATTCAATATCTGCTCATTTTCATATTCCTGAACAATGGTTAGATGCTAGTTTATTTTCACCAGAAGCATTTGAACATGCCATGTTCATTCTTGAAAATGAACTTGATTGGCCTCAACTATCAGCAATTACAGGTCATATAAATGTTAGTTGGCCTAATATTGAAGGTAAATAATATTTATAAATTTAAATTATTTAACATATTCATAGATTTAATATTTAGGTCCAACTCGTTCATTATATGCACGTTTATTTGATCTTNTACAGGTCATATAAATGTTAGTTGGCCAAATATTGAAGGTAAATAATATTTATAAATTTAAATTATTTAACATATTCATAGATTTAATATTTAGGTCCAACTCGTTCATTATATGCACGTTTATTTGATCTTGATCATTGTAATCATCGTGATTATCAAAATATTGCAGTTAATGGAGCTGATAGTAAATCTATTCTTGACATAGCTAAAACATTAAGACGTAATCCAAAAAATGATGCACCATTACTTGTTATTTATTCATTAGTTGGTAATGATGTTTGTAATGGTCATCCAAATACTCTTGATGATATGACAACTGTTGAAGAAATGCATGCAAATGTATTAAATGGTTTAACTTATCTTGATACAATATTACCAAAAGGTAGTCATGTACTTACAACTGGTTTAGCTAATGGTAGTGTTTTATATCAATTATTACATGATCGTATTCATCCATTTGGTCGTGTTGGTACACCATTTACATATAAAGATATTTATACATATTTATCTTGTTTACAAATTTCACCATGTAATGGTTGGTTAACATCAAATGATACATTACGTGCTTTAACAACACAACGAGCAGTTGAACTTTCAGATGTAGTACGTAATGTAACATTTACTTATTTAGCTCAAAATTTTGATGTTGCTTATATGGATTTTCCATTTGAGCAAGTATTTCAAGCTTGGATAGCACAAGGTGGTGAACCATGGCAATTACTGGAAAGTGTCGATGGTTTTCATACGAATCAGTATGGTAATGCAGGTCTTTCTGATGCTTATTGGTCATGGCTGCAAAAAAATAAACCACAATGGTTACCACCACTCAATCCACATAATGCAGACATTGAACGTGTTTTTAAAGATCAAGGTGGATATTAATATTCGAACAGTTTATTATATTTTTTAATTATTGAAACGTCCAAAAAAAAAATATATATATAAATAAAATTTCGAAGTCGAGATTTTAATCAATATTTGAATTGAGAAAATTTTCATATGAATAAACCAAACTATATATTTATTTCAGTCTATAGATTTTAAATTCTTTTCTGTTGATAATAATAACCTACTTTATATAAGCCTAAATAAGTTGGTCACTATGCCATATATTTTTATCGTAAAATAAGTGCGAAATAAAACAGAAAAAGAAAAACCATATGTTTTATTTCTCAGCAATCAATATTCTTCAAAGGTGTGTATATTTGTGTGCGTTTCATACAATTATTTTCAGTTGAGAAGAAAACGAACAATGTCGAAAGCAGCTATCAGCTGGGTTATTTTATTACTGGTCGTTTGTATACCATTAGTGAATAGTCGTTTAACTACTAATTTAAAAAATGGTGTCAATGGTGGTGTAGATTGTGCAACATGTTCGATTCTTTTGGGAATTGTTGATCATCTTACAATTGTTTATAATGAAAGTGCTGCTCAATCACTTGAACGACTTTGCTCATTTTTACCAGATGAATATCAACTTTATTGTAAAGCTGCTGTTGACTTTTTAGGTAACTCGATATTGTTTATTGAATGTATTGATATACAATACATGATATATTATTCTAGGTCCATATATTATCGATGGTTTTATCAAAGGAGATAATCCTGATGTTATTTGTCATGCATTAAAATTCTGTACAGATGAACCTGATCAAGCTAAATGTCGTATTTATCCATCAAAATCTCCAATTCTATTTGCTCAACGTGTTTTAAATTTTCGTCAACGACATCCATTAATTAGTTTAAATTTAAAAGATTCAAAAATTTGTCAAATTCCTGGTATTAAAGAAATTTGTAAAATTTTAGAGAATATTTTCAATAATCATATGCCAGCAGTTGATATTGATGAAGATAGATTTGGTATAGAAGCAACACTTCGTGGTAGTTCATGGCGTGGAAAAGATTGTAATGATTTTTCATCAGCAATTCATCCGGGTGCTCATGTTGTTGATGGTGATGGTATTACAGATCATAATTGTAATGGTATATATGGTATGAATTCAGCAAGTGGAAAACCTTGGGAAGATGAATTTTGTAATGAAACACAACGTATGGGTATAGCAGTATTAGGTGATTCAATATCTGCTCATTTTCATCTTCCTGAACAATGGTTAGATGCTAAACAATTATCTGTAGCTGCATTTGAACATTTAACATTTATTCTTGAAAATGAACTTGATTGGCCTCAATTATCGGCAAGTACAGGTCATATAAATGTTAGTTGGCCAAATATTGAAGGTAAATAATATTTATAAATTTAAATTATTTAACATATTCATAGATTTAATATTTAGGTCCAACTCGTTCATTATATGCACGTTTATTTGATCTTGATCATTGTAATCATCGTGATTATCAAAATATTGCAGTTAATGGAGCTCGCAGTGGTTCTATGCTTGATATTATGAAATCGTTATCACGTAATCAAAAAAATGATGTACCACTTCTTGTCATTTATTCATTAGTTGGTAATGATGTTTGTAATGGTCATCCCGATACTCTCGATCATATGACTACAGTAGAAGAAATGGAAAAAAATGTTTTAACAACACTTACATATCTTGATACAGTCTTACCAAAAGGTAGTCATGTACTTACAACTGGTTTAGCTAATGGTAGTTTTTTATATGAATTATTACATGATCGTATTCATCCATTTGGTCGTGTTGGTACACCAATTTCTTATACGCAGATTTATGATTATTTATCTTGTTTACAAATTTCACCTTGCAATGGATGGATGACATCAAATGCAACACTTCGTGTATTGACTACACAACGTGCTATGGACTTATCTGCAGCAATAAGAAATGTTTCATATTCTTATAAATCAACTCAATATGATATTGAATATCTTGATTTTCCATTTGATGATGTTATTCAAGAATGGATAGCTCAAGGTGGTGAACCATGGCAATTAATTGAAAGTGTTGATGGTTTTCATATTAATCAATATGGACATGCAATTGTTTCTGATGTTCTTTGGAAATGGTTACAAAAAAATAAACCACAATGGTTACCACTAATCAATCCACATAATGCAGACATTGAACGTGTTTTTAAAGATCAAGGTGGATATTAATCATTGACTGAAATATAAATCTTTGTTTTTTTTGCATTATTGTGAAAAATAAAACAAAAAAATCTATAGACAGTGACCTAAAAGTCACTTTACTGAGGAAAAAATTTTTAATATCACCATCATATTTTGACTAAATGATCTGTTTTTTTTCATCACTAATAAAGATGTATTTACAGTTTCTATTCATAAGAAAAACGTTGACAAACACTTTTGAAATGTCACTATTAGTGGCGGCACCAGGGGTGAATTAAGCCCATCCTGGAAAGTTTTGGATATCGATAGTTTTTTATTTTGTAAAAACTTAGAGTGGGCTCAGCCCACTCTGACGAAAAATTCTGGAGCCGCTACTAGTCATTATTATCTCTCTGCATACAGTACAACTACAGAAACAAGGACTACATGTTAAATAGTCTTTAAAAGTCAATATTTCGATCTAATGACATTCCTTGAAAATGCGATCATCGGATGCGAAATTGAATTTTCTTTTAAACATAAAACAAAGAGGCATATTTTTCTTAATGTTTCTCTTCAGCCCATGTTATCTTCCGTCAATATCATAATGTAAAGGTTAAATCGTATTTTAGCATATAACTGGTTAGTTGAATTAATTGATACAGTGATTGAAGGGTATTTCTGAGATGAAATTCAAGTATCAAACCTGCATAGATCTTAATTTTAAACTTGAAAAATTTTTCGAAAGCGTGTATTTTACAGCATACAAGTATAATACCAGTTGATTCTCGATAAAAGAAAAATAGTGAGAATAATTATTATTTTATTATCTCATTCATGTTTTAAATGTATATGATCACTCATTAGTCATTCTCATCAAAGCGAATGAACAGAACAATTTATAAGGCGATACATTCTCAAAAACCAACGGGCTAATTCGGACTAACATTCAAAAATTTTCAGACTAGTCTAACTTTCTTATTTTCGACTGATTTAAATTATCAAGCAGATGGATGAGTTTCATTCTGTTCAATAGACTGTTTAGATTAATATTGGTGTACTTCAAAATCATCGTCTGTGGTCAAGACTTTATGTTAAATATCGCGAATACTCCAAACCCGACGGGCTCTAATCGTCACAATTTAGGACGAAATATTATGTACCGAACTGAACGATCACTCTATTTACATAGAACTGTTGATTTCAAGCGAGAAAAATTCATAGGAAATATTCTCGTAATTTGATGCAAAAAAAAGAACCAATAAATTCTATTGTTTCAATTAACATCTGCTATTCTATATAAAAAAAAGAAAAATATTCTTTTCCAATAAATAAATCGATTGTTTATATATTCAATTTGAACAAACACTTGTAATATTA